TAGTATGAAACTAAGAAAAATATTAATAACAATGCCATCCCAAAAATAGATAATCAAAGAAACTTACTGGATCCTTTGAAAGTTGTTGAAAGCCATGATTTATTTGTCTTCCTAAACCTGGCGTCTGTTCTCTTGGACTTGTTGAATCTTTGCCTCATATGAACCAGCAGGGATTGTAATTGGTTGAATGCAGATGCCGGCCTGTAACGATACCATAAATATAAGTTCAGTATGTTCTGCGGCGTATATATATTATTTATTAGAAATATTGTAGAACACTTTGCTGCTGACGTTTTTAAAAAAGAACCGTGTTTATTTTCTTTTCTTTTTCCTGTGTTTTCTGATTTTCCTACTTTTTTCCAATGTTTCTACTGATTTTTTCTGTGTTTTTTTTCGATTTTTCCCTTTTTTTTCGATTTTTAACTGTTTTTTAGCCCGCCCTTCTGCTTTTAAAAAAGCATTAAAGCGGGCTTATGCAACCGCTGTCGTGTCCGTCTGTCTGTCTGTCTGTCCGTCGTCCGTGTAAGAGGAAGGAGATGAGCTAGAGGTCTGCAAATTTCAGGGTATCTTAGGGGTCACTCCTGGACAACGAAACGCCTGGTGCAAATCCTGGCAACCACCCCTAAGGGGGTGAAAGGGGGTAACGAATAAATAGGGATTAGTCCAAAAAGTAGAATATCAAATATTTTTTTATGGTCTCCTAAGGGGTATCTCGTGAAAGTAGAGCTCTTTGGGCGAAAATTTCGTCCGTTTGACCCTATCTTGCACCGTTTGGGCGCTAGAGTGCTTATTTCGACGAAATACGGCGAAAATGACTGCGTTGCTCATAAAGACGTACAAGGAGGCGTCCAATCGTAAAATGTCAGAGGAAGTACCCCCCCAAAACAACACATTCTGAATCAGACACTACTCTTAGATTTGCCGTATCTTTCACTGTTTCGGCCCTAGAGGTGGATATATTGAAAAATTTGGCAAAAAGTCAAGTTTTAGGACTGTTTGACAAACAATGTACAACCTAAAAACTGCGCTGGTTCACCTTTTTTAATTCTTGGGCAAAGCAGAAGGGTGGGGTGTAGTCACGGTGTTGCCCCGTTACAGTCTCTTGTCATGTCCAAAGGAAAAATTTCTAGGGCCGCAGGCCCCCCGCAAGACGCTTAAGTTTACTCAAATATGCAAAGAGATTTACCGGTCACATAATTTATTTGATTATGCCCTTCAGTAAATCGCGAGACTGAAATGGTCGGGCCGAAGGCCCGACCATCGCCGCCGGCAGGCCAAGCAGGCCCGGCCCCTTCCGAACGGAGTTGCCGGCGCAGCGAAGTGGAGCTGGCAACTCCGTTTGGCGGAAGGGCGGGCCTGCTTGTTTAATCCGATTTTGTTGTTTTTTTTTTCAATTTTTTTCCTGACTTTTTCTGTTTTTTTTCTTATTTTTTCCGATTTTTAACTGATTTTTTTCCAAATTTTTGGGGGGGTTTTCCTTAATTTTTTCTGTTTTTTTTCCTGATTTTTTTTGTGGATTTTTTCTGATTTTTTTGATTTTTTTCCTGATTTTTTTGGTTGAATCTTTGGTATTTTTTTCTGATTTTTAAAGGATTTGCATTGATTTATTAAAAAAACGCGTCTGGGTGTAGCGAAGCCTGTTACGCGAGACACTATAGCACCACTACATAGCCGCAGCGATAGGAAGTGCCACACTAATTTGTGATCACCCGCGCTGATGCGTGGATGCGTGGATGCCAAAATGTTTCTTGCGCATGTGAGCGTCTGGGTGTAGCGAAGCCTGTTACGCGAGACATTACAGCTCCACTACATAGCCGCAGCGCAGCGAGTCATGATAACGATAGGAAGTGCCACACTAATTTATGATCACCAGCGCTGATGCGTGGATGCCAAAATGTTCCTTGCGCATGTGAGCATTTAGACCTATATTACCGAGTTTGCGGTGTAAACAAGTTGTTTTGACTTCGTACTTACAATTTCAGTTCTTCCAGAAGGGCAGGTACTTGTTTGCGTTGCGGTAAAGAGCTCATTAAACGCCATTTCTCGTAGATCACCACGTATTTTATTTTAAGTATAAAAACAATTCATTAACGCAAACCATGTACAAACACTGGTAGTCGGACGTTGACGCGCTACGCTAGGGCTGTCCGTACGTCACGATCGCCGCCGGAACAGGGAACAGGGCGAGCCGGGTGGGTGAAGGAGAACGGGGGAAACATGGGGGCGTTGAGTACGAAATATTCCTTAGTTTTACTACCTTTTACTTTCATTGACGCCCGGGGTGGCACCTGGTGGCAGCTACAACCATTACGGGATGTTGTGGGCACCTATGGAGAACATTTTTATGCTGTCCTCGTTTTGGACAAAGTTGGACCAAATTTGTACTCGCCTATCAAAGGTGTGAAAACTACAAGTAAAGTTAAGTGTGAAAATATTGACCGTCTGACACACGTGGGGAAGTTCGGAGGGAAGAGCATCACTGGATAGGACTATTTCAACCATGGTGCATTAGATGGAAGCCGAGGTATACGGTCCCTGCTTCACATACGGGCACGGTGGCCTGTCACATTGTGACATACAAATCATGTTAGAGCGCCCCGAGAGAGGGTCATCTTTGACAACCGATAACTCCGGAACCACTCGACCAATATGAGACCACTTTTGCGTGGGAGACTTTTAAACATTTCTTAATCGATAAAAAAAAAACCGAACTCGATGAGACCAACTTGAGATTTCTGACTTTTGGCGGCCTAAACTGGCATTACCGACCACTGTGCGCCGTGTGGCGCCTGCTGCTCTTTTCTTCGTTAAGCTCTTGAGTGCAGTCTTCTAGTGAGTCAGCGAAGGCACCACAGGGTGAACTGCCAGCTAGGCACCACGCATCTAAAGGACTGCAGGGCTGTCCGCCAGAATGAAGGGTGACGATGCCACCGGTGGCTGGTAGGGTGACATTTTGAGTAAATTGTCGTTGCTGCGTTACGTGTTCAACGTCAATATCTCTAGACCACCGAATGTCGTCTGACACGCACTTCCTCTTCAATTTGTTCTGGCGGAACTTTGGGACCCCCAGCTTGGTTAATACAGGGTTGTTAGCTGGGTCCCATGATCCCAAGCTGCCGACCACAATGGCAGCAGCTGCTGCCTCGAAGCCACGGCCGTGGAGGTGCTGAACTAGGTGTTCGTATTTGTCCTCCTTGTATCGCCGGGCCACTTCTAGGGCATGGTAGCGCTCCTCACACGGACAGCAGATGTCAACGATGAGTGCCGTCTTGGTGGTGGTGTTCATGACGACGATGTCTGGTTTGTCAGCGCTACCCGACCCGGCGATGCACCTCTCTACTCGGGTGTTGCGTCCTCGCTCATGACCTCCAGGACGTCCTTGAGGATGGCCCGGTGCTGGTTGTTGATGGCGAGCGAGTGTCTGGCGAAGCAGTGGTTGAGGACGTGCGCGGTGGTTTCGTCGGGGTGGCCGCAGGCCCGACAGGATCTGACACGCCCCGCGATGCCGCGGACGCACCCGTTCAGTGGCAACACCCCTAGGCGGGCCCGGTGGATGAAGCGCCAATCGCAGAACCGCATGTGCTGACCCGCGCCGTAGAAGTGGTTGGAGGCAGGGTCGTGACAGGTTGCGGCATAGACCTTCCCCTGGTCGGGCTTGCTGACGAGGGAGACAAGATGATGGTGTTGAAGGCCTTGCCGCAGCTTGTGGTGGAGTAGTTTGCGGGATTCCGAGTCTATGATGGCGCTCTCCACCGGCTTGCCAGGGAAAGGCACGTGGACTCCGAGGCGCTCCAGCGACGCACTCCATCCCCATTTGAAGCCATGTATTTTGTTGCTGAGCCTCCGCGAAACGTTTCTGGCCGCCGTCCAGATGTTAGATGCGTTGTGCACGCCTCTTGGTGTTGGGCCCCCTGATAGGACCTCCGCCAGCTCGGAGTTGGATGGATCGTGTCCGAGCCGGCGCCTGACGGTTTTCTTGGCGCTGGTCGCGGCGATTTTCCTCACCAGGGGTCCGGGCAGGTGAGTACCTTGAAGGCGTGCACGATGGCCCCGATGTCAGCAAGGTCACCAAGGGGGAGTAGGTTGGCATCTTGTGCGGCGGCAAGTAAACGGGCTCGGCGCTGGCGCCGTGGGGAAGGTGGAGGGCAGCCTTAGCAACACGCTTCACCTCCCGGTCGAGCTCCGCGAAGGCCTGCTTCTGGACCTTGGCCGTCATGAGGCTGTGTTGAGCTTGAGGGACCACGAAGGTGCGGAGCGCGTCCAGCTTCTGCCAGTCAGACAGCTGGCTGCGCTCGATGTTCCCAATGTCTTGAAGCATGGCCTCGATGGTCGCCTCGGGGGTCTGGTCGACGCGAAGCCCCGTGGGGACGCCAAGGTGTTGGTAGGCGTCCCCGTCGGCCAAGGTCGGGATGGTTGCGCCCTGGATGAGGGTCAGCGTCTCCAGCTGAGCCCTCTTTTTCACAATGTGGAGGGTGGCGCACTTGGCCGCGTTGAACTGGAGGCCGGTCCAAGTGGCCACCTCCCCAATGATGTCCAGAAGGGTCTGCATGTTGGCGGCACTCTTGGCTGTGACGACCAGGTCGTCCGCATAACCAAGGCACACGATGGGCTCGTTGTGGAGGAGAAAGCCGTGCAGCCTGGCGAGGATGAGGATGCTTCTGATGAGCACCTCCAGTGCCAGGTTGAAGGTCATGGGGCTCAGAGGGTCACCTTGCTGCACCCCTGAGGCCATTGGCACGAAGCGGGTCTCGCCAGACGCTGTAGAAAAGTTTGTCGTGCAGCCTTGGTATGCGTCCTGGACGACGTCCACTAGATGTTCGTGGACGCCGTGCTCGGAGCATCTCGAGAATAACGGCGTGGGGAACGGACCCAAAGAGGTTCCGTAGGTCCAGCCACGTGATGACAAGTTCGCGGCCGGACTCCCTCACCTCATCGATGGCTTGTTGGACGATGAAGTTGTGCTCGAGGCACCCCTCCTCCGGCATGAAACCCTTCTGGACTTAAGAAACAGCTCCCGTAGAAGCTGCCCTCCGGCCCAGGCTGTCTGCAAGGATCCCGGAGTAGATCTTGTAGAGACAGGAGGACAGGGCAATCGGGCGCCAGTTTCCGAGATCGCCCTTGTCCCCCTTCTTGTAGAGTAGGATGGTACGCGACTCCTTCCATGCTGCTGGGATGCGCTTGTAACGCAGACAGGAGTTGTACATCACAGCAAGCATGTGAGCACCGGGATCCTTGCGCTTGATGATTGAATATGTAACCCCATCAGCGCCAGGGGATGTTTCGCTGCAGCGTACTAGGCGCGCGGTGATGGTTTCTTTGTCAATGGTGGTGACGAGCATAGGATCCTGGCGCTGAGTGGGGGGCAGTACAGCAGAGGCAGGAAGAGGCGGCAGCTCGGTGATGGTCTCCTTGAACACATCCTCGAAATAGTTAGCGACCTCGTCGCCCGGGACCTCGCAGAGAGGAGAATCCTCCTGTCGGATGTCCCGCATAGCCTTCTTTCTGTTGGTCTTGTAGAGCTGCTGAATGCGCTTGGCCTCCTGATTGGGGTCGCACTGCCCCCTGCCCCGCTGACGGCCGCCTGGGCGAGGTTTAGGTGGTGATTGCAGCACCTTGGTGAGCTCCCCGATGACGTCCTCAAGCTCGGCAAAGTTTTGTAGAATGCTCGCCTGCCACGCGGGCGGCCCGGGTTCGATTCCCGGCCAATGCAATTTTGGTTTGTTTGCCTGCCTCGTCGTCGTGTCCTCCGACAGCTGTCTTGTCTTGACGACGACACACATCCGTCGACCAGCAGCACCGGCCTCCGTGGCGCAATGGTTAGCGCGTTCGGCTGTTAATCGAAAGGTTGGTGGTTCGACCCCAGCCACGGGCGGCGACCGTTTTGCCACGGCCAGCCGCCTGCCGCCCCGCCCCGCCCCGCCGCCCGCTGTCGAAACCCTGGCATGGTCGGGGTTTCCCACGAGACCGTGTGGCCTAATGGATAAGGCGTCGGACTTCGGATCCGAAGATTGCAGCTTCGAGTCCTATCACAGTCGTCCCGCGGTTGATGGGCGCC